CTTCACGGCTTCTTCCCGCACACCCACATGCCCCGATACTCCAAGAAAATCCGCGCCGCCCCATAGTGCGCCATCGCCCCCAACACCACAAAAACATGGAATATCTGATGGCTCTGGCCCACGAGGTCGAACCTCCCAGGCCCCCATCTCTCCGGGACCCGCGCCACGTAAAACCCCACCCCGACAATGTACGCCACTGCCATGGCTGACTCGTACGCGAGCGTCACGTCGCGCTGCGGGTCGTCCCAGTTTGCCACGAGTGCATGGGCCGTGGGCACAACCCCGAATCCCCCCATGGCAAGGAACAATAGAGCGCGCAGCGGACGATACCTCCCCGCGGCCCTCGATGGGGACATCAGCATGAGGACTGTGCATGCGCCCAGGATCGAAATCCCAGTTAGGTACACAGCCTGCCAGGCTGGCGAGCACCGGAAGATGTAATAAATCGGCGGGAAAAACGAGGTGACGATCATGACGGTTATCCCGACATAGTCGATTTGGGAGAGTTTGAGGGTGAGGTGGCGGGAGTGGCAGCAGAGGAGGTGGCAGGCGGTGCTCGAGAGGAGGCAGAATGTGGCCCCGCTTAGGAAGACGAAGAACGGCCAGCTTGTGCCAGCTGTCTCGCCACCAATGTCCGATTTTGCGGATGTATCGAGATTCGGTCTGATGTGTTGGGTCGACTGCTCGGAGGTTCTGAAAAATACTGGTTCGTGATTTAGAGTGTGATTGGAAATATATTTATCTAGTAAAAAATCATTCAAAACTCAAATTTAACTCAACTTATCCTCAAATTTATTCATATAATTAAATAATACCAATCAATCACCATTACACATCAAATCACATTGTTTCATTATTCATTTACTCACATAATTTTAACTAACCATCACTTCACATATATCTCTTTTACTTTTACATCAAATCAACTTTAATTATTTTATTCTAAATATTATTTTAAGATAAATTTGAGCTTCCACTAACAATTAATCATATTACATTTTTCAAAATTGACTGTAATCAACTAAAAATTCAGCAAAAATCAATCAAATTCATATCCAATCACACCTTAGTTTACATTGTAACCAAACAAGCTCCTCTTGGTTCTCTGTACAAATCATTTACATTTTATTAATTTACTGTACAAAAATTATTTCATGACATCATTGCTTCATTCCTAAATTTCTATCAATTTGTTTGGATAAACGTGTACAATGTATCTTGAATCTTTACTCCTTTTTTTCCCTTTCTCTAAAAATCCTACATATTTTGACATCTTTCTGTACATTTCTGGGTTCAGTGCTAGATTATCCCCAAAATATCTTTAGAAATTTCAACAATTGAAGTGCAATATCTCATAAAATAAACTTGAA